GTGGAGCAGAGGCTGCCGCTCAAGGACACCCATGGGAGGGTGTTTAGACTATTGCCTTGGGCTAGAAGGGAACTGCAGATGTCTTTATGACACCAACAGTGATTCACTGACTCTTTCAAGAGGGTATAAACCCAGCCTCGCAGGAGGACATTGAGTTTCTCACCCAAGCTGCAGCCTGGCCAGCATTTCACCTAGATTGCTTGCTTGCCCTTTGGCTACAAGCAGGGTAGCGCTGCATGATGCTGTGGGTCTGGGTGAGTACGCTCCCCTTCCATTGGGATGGATGCCCTTGTTCAGGGCTGGCCCTGAGTCCCAGCTACAAGACCCTGCTCATCCACAGCCCAGGGAGGATGCATCTCACCCCATCCTTAGTGCTTTGCTGGGGATCTGGGGCAGGAGGGGGCTCTAGTGGCAAATGAACAACTGTAGTTTAGCTAAATATGTTTCCTGAGTAGTTTGTGGCTCACTCTTCCTGCACGAGCAATGGCTTGCTAAAGATGGCTTGTTTTACAAAGCATTTTCACAAGTGGCTGAGCTGTTAATGTCACTGCTACCTGAGCAGATTTAATTGTGCTGCTGCTTGCTTTCAGCCTAGCGTGACATGCTGAGAATGAAAATCACATACCTTTTTGCCAGGGAAAAAATGCCATGTTCTGGAGCAGGTTTGAGTGCATGTTTCCCACAGGGATTCATTCACATGTTGTTCTGAGCTGCTTTGGCTGCCAAGGTTTGCTGTGGCATTTATTAAAAGATGCCTTCAATGCCATTCACCTTTAATCATTGCCCTGTGTTTAATTGAAACAATGTGTCTCTCTTTCCTACCAATATCACGTTATTACGGCGTGTAGCGTGCAGATGTGCTCTCAGATGCAAACAGGAAGTTTTGTAATTAAAACCATGCTTTTCAATCAATTTCATTTTCTCCAAAGGGCGCACAGCCTTATCTACCAACCTCTTATTTGTAGAGGAGGACTGAAAGAAGAAACATATCTCAGCTTTCTGTTAGTCCTAATGAATGCCTTCATACTGATCCTCTTTGTCCCTCTTGCTCCTGGTGTCCTGGCGCATGTGTGGATCCTTTTATTTTAAGGGATAAAAGAAGGGAATGGAAGAGTAAATGGAAGTGTATCCCTATAAAGATCAGTTTAAACCTTGAGTTTTGGTAGAAACAGAAATTCAGTGGTGTTTTCCTCTGGTTTTAACAGGAAGGCAGAGAAAGCCAAATGCCTGCAGCATTCAGGCACCGTGTGGCTCGCAGAGGCAAGCAGGCGGCTCATGCAGCACACCAGCTTTGCCAACCATGCATGTTAGCGAACAGCCAAGGAGAAGGAGAAGCATGTGGTTTCAATGGAGATAGGCTTTGGTGTTTGCTACACAATTCAATATTAGGTGACATACTCTTATAGCGTGATTCTAACTCTCTGTATAGAGAAATCCCTGCAGTTCCCATGCACTGATGGTGAGGACCAGGCATCTCCCAGCTTCGGGCACATTCTCCATCCTTTGTGCAAAGAGCAGTAACTCCATGACCTGCTGATGGGGTGAGTTGTTGCCTGTTGCTGAGAAGCCTGTAGGGGAGAACAGGATATCTGTGTGCAAGCACATTATATACATTATATAGATCAGCATCTATTTCCAAACTGCATACAATTAATTCAAAGGGGCTCTTTGTATGAGCACAAGTGAAGGGACATCCTTGCTCAAGTCCGTGTAGGATCAGTCTGGAGCAGTTCAGGGTGTTCACGCTCAGACCTGATTTGCTTGATTCAATGCCATTTTGCAGAAAAAAGGAAGTCAGTATCCAGCTTGTGAGACAGCCCTGAGAGAGGGGTTAGTTATGGAGGAGCTTCATGGACATTGAAAAGCAGCACGTGGACAGAAATGCTGGCAAATCCATAGCTGCACGAGCATTACCAGCTATAACCATCATGCTCTGTGCACCGGGCAACGCTGCCGCGACTCCTCTTGTGCTGTGATCAAAGCACTGGGATTTCAAAGTGGAATTCTTTCAGTCAGACCAAGTCATCTTTGAATACATTAACTTTAAACCTCCCCAAAGATACCAGCAGCTGCTGTCTGGACTGCCCACATCACAGTGAAAGAGAGCACCAGCCACAGCGATACTCATTTACAGACATTGATCTCTTTACCTCATTAGCAAATCTGTGAATTATTAACTTTCTAGAGCCAGACAGCTGTGTTTTCAGTTTAAACAAATCAGTTTCTATAGCTGGACAGTCAGGGCAGACTATTCCCACAGAGGGATTCATTTGCAAGCCCAAAGCGAAACTTCAAGAGGGGCATTAAATGTCAAAAAGCTATTGAAGCAGTTTATCAGGTTAATACTAACGCAGTGCTGTAGAGCTGGTCATCATGCAGCCAGCCCATCACTCCAGTTTCTCCCATTTTGTCCATCAGCCCTTGCACACTGCTGAAAGCAGCATCACCGAACCTACCCTAGTATGCTGAGGTGCAAACGCACCTGATGAAGCCTGAGCTCAAATCTAGCTTGAGGCCTGTCTCATCTTGATACTTAGAGGTGGCTTCTCTTGAGTGCTCCATCAACCTGGAGTAAATCAGCCTCCCAGCACCAGGGCTATTTCCTACTCACCATTCCCTCCACAGAACCGCACTGGTGGCACAGGACAGGCCACAGTCAAAACAAAAATCTGAGGGTGACTCAGTAAGAGTCTTTTCAGCCTTCCTACACCTGGGCATCTCTCGGAAAAGGAGATGAGGCTGCCTCTGCTGAGCAAACGGTGCCTCAAGGCAGTAGGAGGAGCTCGCATGCACCCGCAGGCCACAGGCTTCGAACCTCTCCCTGCAATACCAGCAGCACCCCGGGGTTTATTTAATCTAACCTGCTCTTAAAGATTGCCAGTGACAGAAAACTCCACCACCTCCCCAGACTGTGTGTCCCTGCATCTGCCTGCTCTGTTAGGAAGGTTTTCTTACTGTTACCCTGAGTGCTTCCAGCTATCATTTGAGCCCTTTATCTGCCTGTGAACACGCAGAACAAATTACTCCCCTCCTCTCTTCAGCAGCCTCTTACATGTTTGAAAGCTGCCTTCTCCTCTTTAGGTTAAGGCCAGTGCTTTTGGTGTTTTCTCTGGCCATGTTTCTGATGCCCAGGAATGCTGGTGCTTCAGCAGCTGCCTCTTGCCAGAAGCTGTGCTCTTGAGAAAGACAGGACCCTCGTGGCACTGCAGCTGTGCAGGGGCTGCTCTGCATCCTCGGACCCGTATTCCCATTAGGGCTTATCTCTGCTGAGTAGTATTCTTTAAATTTTGGTAGTGAACCAGGTGAATATATCTGATAGGGGTGCAATCTTCCACACCAACCAGACAACTGCTGCAGCGCATTTTCCATGGAGCAGGCCAGGCAGCAAATGAAGTGAGATTCAGAAAATGAGTGGGTTCAGACAGCTTCTGAGAGGCCTTTTAAGGACATTTCTCAGCCTGGGGTGTAGAAAGCTCTGCTACACACCTGAGATCAGCCCCCAGCAGAGCTTCAGGTGTGGTTGCAAAAGAAATCTCTAGGGAAGGAGAAATCACTGTCCACTGTCACTGTTACTCAGGTGGCCTCTCCTGAATAAAGTCTCTGCTGTTAAACATGAAAGGTGTATGATTAGTTGGAGAAATTGCAGCTCACTTATTCTGTGCATACTTTAACAGCTGCATTTAACTTACCAGCACTGTAGTTGAAAATTCAACCATCATAATAAACAGCAAAGGGCTCTGCCCTGGACTCTGAGCTGCCACTTGGCAAGAGGTACCGGCCATGGGAAGGCAGCTGAGCCTCTGCGCCCTTTTGCTCAGCTTTAAATAACCACAGCACTAAAGGGCACAGTCTGGAAGAGGGCAGTCCTCAGCACCAGCCTTTCTGCCCTGCCTGTACCTCTGAACACCCCCCTCTGCCCATGGTATTCTTGGGAAAAAGGACTAGATTCTCAAAGGGCCAGATTTTGTTTTCTACTTCCAGTCTATTGGAAGCATGAATGCTGAAGCCTGAACGTGCAGCGAATTCACCCTTGCTCCCCACAGTTCAGCACAGACATCACATCAGAAGCTTTAAGAACTGACCTGTGCTGCTGCTGCTGCCTTTGTCTCCATTTGGTTTGATGGCAGTAGACAAGAAAAAGGTCATTTCTTTCTGACTTCCTAACAGCAGTAGGTGCTGATACAGTAAAAAATGAACCCCCAGCTGCTGCTTCTCCCATGGAAACTGTTGCATACATATTTATTGTGCTGATTAAACAGATTTGCTATTCTATAGTAAAACAGGGAACTGAAGCACCGGATTTGCAATTTTGTTACCAAATTACAATTCATAAATATTTGAGAAAATAAGGGCATTTACATATACCATTAGTAAGAAAGCACAGTTGCTGTTTAGCTGCCACTTGCCATCAAAACCCAGAATACCATGGGCTAAGTGCTTAGCTCACAGCTGCATCCTAAAATGACAGCACACTGAATCCACTCCTTCCATCAGGATATATTTTTATTAAGGGTCAGTATGAGCTCCAAAAGAAACTTTGAATCTTTCTTTATCACTGTCCACCCAGAAACAGTCTCTAAATCGAATGTAGCTGAACCTTTAAATAGTCAGGTCACAGGCACAATACACATACCTGACATTTATAAGGCTACCAGGTAATTTAAATTCATGAGAGTAGCTATAAACATGTATTGATGTGCTCAGTGGAGAAATGCAGCTCTGTGTTACAGGGCTAGATCCCAGAAAATATTACATACAATATTTTGGCTCTTTCCTGCCAGTGGTTCCTTCCAGATGTAGGAAAAACATCTAGCATTTAAAAATATTCTGTATTTAAGTGTCCAGCTAGAAAGTAAACTTTCCAGTAATTACTACAATAGTGTTTATTTCAAACTTCATCCTAATTTTCCTATTCAGCATTATCAACCCTATTCAGCATTATCAACCCTATTCATAAACACACACTTTGTAACAAAATGATAAATGGAGTATCCATGGAGTTATTTGAGAGGGAGCTGTATTAGATAAACAAAATGTTAAAGAATTTTCTGGACAACGGAGGTAGGAATGAGAGGTTCCAGATTATGGAAGGTTTTCTGGTCTGCCTCTGTCACCACAGATTTGGTTCTGCTTTCATCTGACAAAACAGACTTTCAGTTACCACTCTTTAGACTTTGTTATGATAGCATTACCTATTGTGTAGTAACAATGTAAACAATGTACATTTCAATCCAACATTTCAGCTGATCTTCGGATAGCTGAAGTGAAAACCCTACATAGTTGAGCCAGAAATACCTATTCATGCAAGCACAATTTGGAGTACGATTTCTCACGCACAAGTAAGAATCTGCAGGTCCTATAGAAATTCAATAGGATTCCTTTACTTTACCAGACATTTTGGACTATGAAAAGAGCACTCACACAACCACACTGTTCTTCCATTTTGAAGGAGACAGTCTTCTACAATGTGCAAAATGAGACACACACTGTTCCAGTCAGTAAGCCTGCTGGCTAGCTGTCCCATTCTCCATTATACTGATCATTGTTCTCTTCTTCTTCAGAATCAGCAGACACTTTCTTAATTCTCTGGATGGCTGCCTTAATGCTTCTCTCAAAATCATTAGGGGGTCCTTTACTGACATCTTTCTCAGTATGTCGATTCACTTTTCTCAGTTTAACTCCCTGCCTTATAGCAGAGAGGATGCTGTCCTTCACAGAGGCATACGGATCCGGCTGTTCCACTTTGCGAAGATGAACTTCACCGCGTTTTAGAGAAGCCAAAACCTCATCCATGGAACCTGCAACAGATAAAATTTATTGTTACCAGAAAAAACAAGACAACAACACTTAAGAGGTATAAAACCCTACCCAAGTGTTCAGGGTGCTTCCTTTTGTCTTTGCTACAGACAGGAAAAATGGTCTGTTCTGGCACAGACTCTTTCAAGCTTCTGCAACACCAGGCTCTGGAACTGCTTTTAAAAAGCAGTTAAAGCTTTTATATCTTGAATTGAGAATCCAATGCCTCTTTAACATTATACAAGGTTGTGCTCTAAGGAAGAAATGATACACAAAGGAGGATGCTTCTTTTTCATTATAACTTTATGGGCTTTCAAAAAAAAAAAAAAATTCACTGCACCAAAAAGTCTCTTGTATTCTGCATTAGAAACGATCTACCACTCCTCCTAGCTTGCTCAGATGCCTGCTGGGACTGTCAATTGCATTTCTGCTCAGCCAAGAGAAAAATGAAAAGATTTGAGTAGAAGGGCTTGAAACTGCACCACTGAAGTCAGTGGGAGCCAGATCAGACCCTAAGCGGGCAGCCAGGCAGATCTTTTCTGTACAGACTTAAAATATAATTCCCATTTTACAACATGATTTAAATCTCAGGCGTATGTTTCTGAACTTCAGACCACAAAGGACACCATACTGAGAGCTTCCACTAGTTCTCTTTATACATGCTGTAATTTGCGTTTTACTCCTTCTGTTAGGTTCTTTGTTGCTAGCTTCAGACTGTTGGACAGGGAGGAAAGTTTCCCAGGACAGCAGTCGACTCCTACAGCCACAGGTCCAGACCATCTGTGCCTCACAGCTGGAAGTATTCTTGCAATGCACAGTACCTAAGATTATGTGATTAACATTAAGCATTTGAAACGTAACATTCTGCTAAACCTTGCGGTACCTTCAGAGACTGAAATGCTAGAAACGATCAAGCAAAGATGCACCAAACCTTCAAATAAGAAAGTCTTACGTCTATTGATCAAATGGGCTGCCTGGTAACAGACTAGCTAGACTAACAAATTATAATAGAAGCTGCCCTTGGAAAGTATGTTAACTCACTACAGACAGTATTTTTAACACCAGAATATTAAACTCTCCTGGCTTTTCATGTAAATACATGAGTAGCTCATGTGTAACTAAAACCAACCCATTTACAAAGCTGTTTCAGTAAGTTCCTGTGGCAGTGTTTTATCAATTACTATTACAGCAATTAACAAGCTGTTTTTCTTCATGAAATAGGTGTAAACAACCAAGCAGATCTGTCCAATAAAGACTTCAATAAACTAAAAGGGATTTTTCTTATCCAAAAAAAATGAAAGGACATCAACATTATGCTGTGAACGGTACTAAGTATTAGCTACTAGCAAGGCTGTTCCAGTAGCAATCAGATTAGTGTACAACTCGTGTTACTAATCAAAGCTTCTTCAAAGTGTCTGTGGTAGAGTTATTCCACAGACCTCTCAGACTGAAGTCCTCACACTAGTCCACTGGATGCACAGTAGTTCCTCACGGTAACTTGACTGTGTCTCAGCCCTTCAACTGCTTGTACTTCCAAGCTCATATGGAAAAGGCTGAACTTTCCTTGGTGTTTCTGCCTGTGGATTACCTCTTAACTGAGAGGGTACAAAGACTGCTTAGACTAATCACAAAACATCTGAAAAGGAAAAGGAAAGTACCACATTTGAAGACACACTTCATTCTAGCAAAAGCTCCACTGAAAAATGACAATAAAAAATTGCTGCCTTCCAACTCAGATCAATCTCCCTGACATAGTCAAAATATCTGCTTGCTTTAGAAATAAAAATAAGCCTGTTTGGATGTAACCAGTGCAGCCTTGGGAGGCTGCTGAGCTCTATTCTCATTCAAACTACTGTTTCAATTGCTGAGTTCAGCCTCCACTTACTTACACCTGCATGATCTTGCTAACAAAGCAGAGGTGTAACAGAATTTTTGCCCTGGGGATGTTAGTACGCCAAAGCTATCCATCTGCCCTTCAAATTCTGGTTGACTTCTGCATTAATTCTCTTAAGAAACCTCCATCTAGAAACCAGACTAATTGTAAGTGGACACAGTCTGTGCATACCTTACAATGCAAACAGCCCAACTTCTAGCTCTGTAGTACATAAATCAAGAACATTCAGGTGTAGCCTTAGTACAACGACCAATTTGCCTACAGTGATCTTCTGATTGGACAGGTGATTAATCCTCAACCAAAATACCACCTTCAGTTCACAAGTTGCAAAACTGTGGCAAGAACTAACCTGGTAGTAAAAGTTGCTTCTCACTGAACAACATTAATAAACCCCCTCTCCTTGGAATTTCTTCTGACACCTTCCAACCTCTTACAGCAATGGGATTTTCAGTGTCATGAGAAGTTCAGGTCCTGAACCAAGATCTCCACAGAACAAGTACTGCTGTAATTAAGTATGGTTTAAACTAACTTCTAGGGCTGCACTTAACATAGGATTACAGCAGAGATTCAAAAGTCCTAAAATACTAACCTGTCCCATTTGACAGCAGTCTCCAAAACATGCTCCAGTCACACTCTGACTGTCAGGACCCTGTGAAGTGTATCACACAGGATACACATATCATTGTTACTCATTTAATATCATGAGTTATAGTCAGTGTTACTGTACATGGTTTCTTAAGACTCAAGTTTTCCAAGAGCACAGTCTTGTTTCTCTTAAGTAAGACTGCACACTATTCCTGTCCAGAGCCAGAGGGAAGGAGAACAGAAAAATACAGGAAATGAGATAAAAAATAAAGACACCAGTGTGAGCCTTCTTACCTATGCAATCATTTATAGACCTTCTGGATGAGTCATCCTGTTTGTGCAGTGCAGGGCTTTCTGTGGGGTTATCGGAGCTGAAGGGAAGTGGCTTATCCAGTGTCTTTAACTGAAGAGGTAGGGGTGGAGGGGGGGGAAGATGGCATTGGAAAGGTAAGGGGGGAGGTGAGGGAGGTAAGGGAGGTGGAGGAGGAGGGAGTTCAAGAGGTAAGAGGGGAGGTGGGGGAGAAGGGGGCAAAGGAGGAGGAGATGGAGGAGGTGGTGGTGATGGTGGTGAGGCTGGAGAGTCCATCAATCCCTCACTGTGCTTCTGTTCCTCTGTGTCACCGTGAATAACAAGAATCTGGACAGGGGTATCTGCTGGGGTATTTTGTTGCAAAGCTTTTGCTTCCTGGGCTTCTACTAGCAGTATACTCTTTGGCTGCTCTGGAGCTGCCCTTGCTCTCAACAAAGGTGGAGGGGACCGTACTGCAACCTGTTGAGTGATGCTTCGTGGCAACTTGGGACTGAGAGGCAGAGGACGAGATGTTTTCAGAACAACATGAGCTGGACACTTCTGTAAAACAAATCATAAGGCAGGAGGTCACATCTCCATTGGACTGGCTAAAACATCAGCCCCTAAAAGAGGCAAAAAGCCATAGAGTACAGACCTGTACCATTTCCCTACTGAAGCAGAAAATTCAACCCTGAACAAATTTAAATGAATATCAATGTATTTCTTTCAAAGCCATTTCCTCATGTTCTTTGCAACAGATTCTGCAACTGGAAACTTTATCGTTAGCGGATTTAACCCTCTTGACACATTCCACGCAACCCTATTTTAGGCTACCCGAAGAGTTGTCTCTGATTTGGACCATGAGCTATAGCTACTTTCTGTTGATATGTTTTGACACCATTTAGGACTACTGTAGTTTACAGTACTTACCTCCCTGAATGCTTTCAGCCTCTCCAGTGTTTTCTGACGTTCCTGGCTTATCCACGCTTTTTTCTTTTTCTCCTCTTCTTTTTGCTTGTCTCTCTTCTGCATTAAAACACAAGTAAGTCGTAGTGTGTGAAAACATGAAGCTACCAGGTTCTCAAAGACTGCTATTCAGTACTCACTATCTGTATGCTGTGATGCTGCTGGAAGCGTTTTTTGCTCTCTTCTGCCTGTTGCAGTCTCTGCCGGTGGTTTGTTTCACACTGATCCTGGTAGAAAACAAGAATTCATGCAACCCTTGGTTAGCTCACTTTCACTGTGCATCATCTATGCCCTTAACTCCTGTGTGCAAGCCACTGAACAGTGACCAAGGCTGAGTATTTGGCTCTGCCAAGGACGGCTAAGCTCAACTAGTGGCAGATGTGAGACCCTGAAAGTGAAGTCTGTGGGACTCCTTCATGACTAAAGCCAGTGGAATTTTTTGCTCTCCTAATTAGCGATAGGGTTACTCATACTGCGGAGGAAACACACCCAGATCTGAACCAATCCCTCTGTCTTACACTTTGGCTAAAAACAAGAGAGAAAGGTCAGGGGAAGGCAGAAATGAGGTCTGAAGAAATTTCACCCAGGTACCAGCTGGACGGAAGGGGTGTAAAGACATTAAGGCAGCAAGAGGGAAGTTAGCAGGGCATTTCAAAAATGCAAGGCTACTTTCCCAAGGACAAAAGCCAGGGAAGCAGAAGCAAAGGTCTGGGAAGCACAATGAATGCCTAGCAGGGGCTTCTTCTGTTCGTAACAAGTGCTGCAGAGAAGCTGCAGGCTTCAGTATCTTCCCTGGGAGTCACTAGTTGTCACTGTACAGAGGGGGATTATCCACATGGCTGGGCAAGCATTTGAAAATCATCTGGTATTTGGCTTCAGTGTTATATAACCAAGAAACAGCAATTAAGTGAATGAAAACAGAAGCAAAGGAAGTGTCTGCCGAGGAAGCAGTTGCAAGCAAGAGACAATGATGGCTCACAAAACATTTCCAGTGTCATTCCCATTTTGTCTAGGCTAGTGACAAGTAAAAGGCCTGACAGATGGGAGCCTAAACTCTGCCCTCTACCCCAGCAGGACTGTGCAGGTGTAAGGTAACCTCAGCTCACTGGGAAGGTTAAGGGTCAATTGTGATTTCACTTGTGTCTTCCTCATGTTCTACTCTGAATGGGAAACAACAGAAAAAACTGCCCCTTGCATAGAACTGAGAGGCTGGATAGAGAATTACAGCAATCAAATTTTCCTCTCTCTTCCATTCAAAGGTAAAGTATCTCTGTGTGAGCTGTTTTGTCACTGCAGCTTCCTTCCTTGCAGGCCAGGTTTCCTCCTGTATTGCAGCTGCTTTGTAAAGGCTGCCAGGGCAAAGCTCCAGCTGACTACAGCAAGGCTCTGGTGAGGTTTAGGTGACAAGGGAACCCCTCCTGAGTCACCCCCATGTAAGTTTGTGCTTGTCTTTGTCTTAATAAGCTAGAGAGGTACTTGCACCACACAGTGGAGTGTAAAGCTGACTTAAAATCACATGGCCCCTCCCTGTTTGGATGCCTTGGCACTGAACCACTTTGTATGCTCCACCCAAAGTTTCCCTAGTTGCTTCCTGTCTGTCCCTTGTGAGTCAAGATACCAGCTAAAAAAAAAATGCACATCTCCAGGACTGCATTTACTTTTTTGTTCCTGAGGTAGGCTCTCCTCGCACAGACAGTCCCACGCTTTGTCTCCAACTGCTTAGTCTTCTGCCTCAGCATCGTCATTTCTGACAAGTTAGCGTAATGTTGTCCCATTGTCTGTTCAATGACCTTGAGCTCCTCAGGATTTTCACATGTATCATAGTAAACAACTTCATCCTGTTTCTCTAAAAAGGCATTTGGCATTTTTTTAAAAACCCCCAAATTGCCACAGTTATTTAAACATTTAAAAAGCTAGTGACAGTTTAAAAGCCACTGAAGGCAGTGAGTTAGTTTATTAGAACATGTAATGCTCCAGAGCCCAGCTTGGTCTTTCAAAGTCCTACACAAACATGTCATGTTACTCACAGGGGTGCTTTGCAGGATCAAATTTATGCTGTTAGCATTTGTTGTTATTTAGCTTCCTCTTTCAAATGTCTCTCTGTGCTTTAACTCGTACTTTCAGCAACTAGAGTTTTCCTGGAAATTGAAGACTGTTCTGATGAACACTGGGTGACTTATTTTACTATTTACCAGGTTATAATTACGCAACAAGCAGGAGCAGTGTTTACATCACAGTGTACACAGTAACAGAGAACTCATAAACACCAATAAACACAAGCAAGACCAGTGCCTAATTTGATCATAAACATGTTACAAAGAGACACTGAAACAGGAATATAGGAGTACTCAAGTACCATCTATCTATGATCACCTATTTTTGTCATTGCAGGACGTAATCTTGTAATTTCTACATGTTAAATTATAACAGATTTGTGATGCATTTCAGGACCCATTTCAGCAGGTCATGATATCCAAAGTTTCTATGCATAGGCATTGTAACTATGAGAGCAGTTAAGTTCTGTTAATAAGTTATTCCGTATGCTGGACCAGTGCATGCACGTATCACAGTTGCTGTCAGTATTAGTGAACAGTGTAGCTTTCTTTTTTTATGTTATCAAATTAGTGTCCAATCAGTCAGATGACAAATTATCAGATGGTGCCATGTCATCAGTGGTTCCCAGTGATGCTTTCTATTATTGAGACCTGAGCAATGATAATAAAATGGTTTTGGTTTTCTTTGTTAAATGAAAACAGAGCAGGCTACATCCCTCCTGTGTTTTGAATACGTGCTTAAGTATTTGTTTCTTCTTACCTTGAATCTGTCTCCTTAAAGTGTCTGTCTGTACAATAAGCAGCATCTCCTCATGTTTCAGTATTTCAAGCTGTACATTATATAATTCCAGCTGCACTTCATAATACTGTACTTCCAGCTCCTCCACTACAGTTAAATTCTCTTCTTGTTCACTGAGGTTCTCCATCTGTGTTTACATAAAATAAAAAGCATTAATAACAAAATAAACATGAAACATGCATGGATGCACGAGTACCTGCACAGAGCCTGGCTTAACTAGCAGCTACTTAGATGCTTTGGTATGGAAACTGCAGAATGTTAGAAATGGCTTGGAGCAGAAACTCAGAGGAGCAGAAAGTCTTATTTACCTAAACTGTAATTTTATCTTAACTCCACTAGGAAAGACTTCACTATAATCCGCACAAACAATACTGCTCCTGAAAACAATCATATATGGTACAGTACATTACTCTTGAAAAATAAGTATCAGGTCTTCTTAGCAGCAGTTAGATGCCAACAAATCAAAAACATCAGAAGATTAAAATTAAATATCTTTATTTTCCAGTGTTGTCTGAAAATAATATCTAGTCCTTGTCTCCCTAAAACTAACAATTTTAAATGTTAGTATCATAAATCCTAACATCACACCTGAACTGTAAAAGCATGTATCTTAACTTCTGTTCAGTGTCCCAAACATGCAGGAGAAGTTTTAAAATAAACTGGAGACATGCATTTTTCCACAACTTAAAGCCATGTTGAAAAGCTAAGCCGTATCACAGACAAAGACTGAAAGTTTACATCCATGACCATTTTGGTAGATTTTGACCAGCATTTCACACAACAGTGACAGAAAAGACAGCTTTGCAAGGTCTTACATTTTTCTGAATGCCAGCTCTCTTGTGTTTCAGGCACAACTCCCTAGCCCTCAGATGCTGAAGAGTTTCTTTAGCTAACATACATTTCAGGTTTTCTAGTCGTGGCAAAGCTGATGCCCAGGTGGCTTTACCAAATCTTTCCTGATCTTGTTCCATCTGTTTGTGCATTCCTGCAGATTAAAACATTGCAGTATTATGAGAAATGCAATCTACTAATATCCCTTGTGTGTCTCCACTATAGCTACAGTACTTTAAAATGCTGATGCTATTAAACAATTTCTGAAGGTTTTTTAGAAATTTCAAGACTAAAAGGTTGTATTTATTTTATATATGTAAGTAAAATACTTGACTATACCATGGCAACATGCTTTAATAGTTACACAGCAATTCACTCCTTGAGACCTGCATATCAATCATTAAAAGTGTACATGGTTCTTGTTCAAAGCCTTGCAGCCATAAGTCTCAGGCCTTGATAATATTTGTATGCAAGCCAAATGCAAGTTGTAAACCAAATTGGTTATAAGATATGAATCTTAAGTGAATAAAATGCTTCTTTCTTAAGCTGGACACTTATTCTAACCTCAGGGTTTGCAGAGAGAGAGACCAACAAACGTGGTAAGAAGAGCTCTCAGTCCCTCAAGTCAAGTATTTACAGAACTTTTTGTGTAAATCATTCAAATTACCTGTCAGAGCCTTTGAAGTTTCCTTGAAGTAGTTCACAGTGATATCTTGAATGGAGCACACAGCATTCTCAGCTCGCTTAGTCCATTCTTCTGCATCTTTCTGCAAAGCTTCTACTCTTCTAGGGCCCAAATTATCATACTGCAAAGATTTCTGCAAGGAGACAACATTCCCAGTTATCACCCAGTGGTGCAGCCTGCAGACAAGGCTATTCAAGCAAGGCAGAGCATAGCAGCAAACACGACGTCTCCCTCACCTGTCACAAAGCAAATCGCTACTCATGCCTGTGGCATTACCTTGTGCCTCATTCTCTAGGCTAACTCAGAACCTTTGCTCACCAATCATAACTTCAACCTAAACTTTGGATTAATTTATTTCCTAAAAAAATTTTAAACTATCCCTTAAAAATCACGTTCAACACAAGTATTTTTAGTTGTTACTAAAGTAACTCAAACCCACTCTTCTATGGACAATGTTCTTTCCTATTTTCCCCCATGTGTTGACAGCACATTGCCCTGCCAGTTCTTCAGTTTGGCAGTTCTTTCACATGGGAATGGATACAGAAATGTAAGAGAGTATTTTCAAATCCACGAAGTACTCATGAGCCTAATACCCCTTAATTTATTTTTTTTTTAATAACAAACTTTGTTCAACCCCTTCCAATTTTCAGTTTAATTTTTAGTACAGTATACTGGATCTTTTATCTTCAGATTTAGACACTCTATTCAGGAACCTCTGTCTGAACTTAAAACTGTTCTACTCTTTTCAAAAACACTAACAGCTCACTTTAACACTCTTTAAGAAAAAAAAAAACAACCCAAAAAACAAAAACCAAAACAAAGTAGATGGCTGTCTTTACCAGGGGCATAATTTTCAGTATGGGATTCCAGTTTAAGATACACAGAAAATGAAATTAAAGCAGTGACAACTGACATGTTTTAACCTGTACTTCTAGCAGATTACAGCACTAATAGAAAACTGTGTGGTAAGGTCTCCTCTGCCTTTTCTTCTACCATCACAATTAATCTGGTGTATGAGCATTGCTGGGGGATGGCATTCTCAGTGCCACAACAAAGGCTACAGAGAGCTCGAGCTTGGAGATTCCTTTTTTGCTCCTCAAAACAGAGGTAAGGGGGGCAGAGGTGGGAAGACAGCTACAGTTCTATTCAAGCCAGTATCATGGACTCTGAAAATGGTTCTGCCTTGACTCAGAATTTCTCAGTCACTTTTGATGGCTTGCCAGGGGAAAAAAAGGCAGGTACAGACAGAAGTACAAAATGTTAAGTGATTTGAGTCTAAACTGCTCCAAAAGCAGATGATGCCCTACTATGTAACTTTGCCTTTGGCTCTGTAAAGGCAGACCTACCAGGATTTCCAGTTTGTACAGTGTCGCCAGCTCTCGCATATCTCTGAAGGGCTGCAGTAAATACTGGTAGAATTGTGTTGCCATGGTGACCAAATCCTGATAAGCTTCGTCTTCTTCTTCATAAACCTTCATCAAAGCCACCATTGTGTCAGCACTTTTATGCTGCTGAAGAATCTAACGGGATAAAAGGTAAATCAGTCTCAGCTGCTTTGTGTGCTGACTGCTGACAAGCTCTGGTGGAAAGGCCCTGCCATTTGTCATTCAATGAGCAGGGAAGCCTTCCCTCTGCACAGGAGCCATACACCAGGCATACAGCAGCCACCCCTAGGTGGAAATATCTTTTAATATCTCACTGTTAAAGGCACCAACTGCTGCACATTGCACTGGGAAACTGCAAGGAGTAATGTGCCTAGGGCTTCTACCACAGAAATTCTAATAGCTGTGTGCAGTTGACTTTGTTGCTGCTTTTTATGAACATGAATGGGAAACTAGGGAAATCTGTGTACTGGAAAGACAAGGAAAGTATTCTTAAACTAGCTCTTGCATTGCTTCCACAATTAGTAAATGTCTGATAGCATGAAATTAATTTCTGGATCCAGAATTGCTGACTTTGGGCATAGAAAAATTAAATTGCCATTTAAAAACAAAAATTCAGAAACTGATTTCTATTCCTGATATACCCTGTAGTTAAATTCCTTCAATGCAGTTAAATAAATAGATAATTTACAATAGGTTATTCTAATCTCAGTTGTAGTGATACCATACTTTGTAACTTGTAAGTCGTCCATGGAAGAACTGCCTTCCTGATACACTAGTCCTTATTTAAGGTCTTTATTTGTTTCTGTGATAAAACACAAAGCGGAAAACTTCCCTCAACTGCATTTGTTTACTGGCACCAGCTTAAGTGTCAAAAGATTTCCTGACAGCAGCTAGCAGAGATCATGGTGTGCTCTATCTGCCAGGACAGAGTGAGCCAGCTGAGAGAACACCACTAAGTTCCACTGAGAAAAAAAATTGTTTGCTCACAGCTCTGTAAGGAGGGAAGGGAATAGGGGGTGTTTGGTGCTACAACAATGAGAAAAAGCATTAGAAACATAAGCTTGACTGTGTTGCAACAGAAAAGCACTCAAGTTAAACCACCTTTGCTCTTGCCAGCTGAGCCTAGGTAAGACAGCAGAAGTAAAGTTCCCAGCTGTGGAGGCATTTCCCAAGGAAAATCTGTTGAAGTAAGCTCAAGAGCATTTCTTTCCCATCCTCCCTCCAGGCCTGGCACAGGGGGACAGGGGAACAAGGGCATATGAGCTGCAACATTTCCAATGATCTCAGAAGTCCTGTGGCCTCTCGGGCTTCCCTAGGAGCTCATGGCAGATCAGACAGTCCTAAATGTGCCTGCAGCAATTTAATAGTCTGCTTTTCTGTCCACAGTATCAAAGCCAACTAGAAACACAACAGTTCACTTTCTGGTTCCCACACTCCAAGCCAGCAGCAAGGGTCATGCTGCTCCTAGAAAATGTTTACAGCAATTAAGAGGGGAAGTATTAGTGAAATTTCAAAGTCTATTCATGAGAAATTACAAGGGGTTGAGGGGAACATGGCGTTTTGTCTGTTTTAGAATATAATCCTTTACACAATCTGACATTCTTTTCATAGAATTTTGGTTCATCACCAGCCTGGCTCCTCTGGCTGAGGTAACAGTATTGCACTTCAGTTTTTTACTTTGTCTTTGAACACAAAGTATGTGTTGCAAAAAAAGCATTACACATGCAAAAAAAGTATTTACACAATACTACTCTCCTCCACCTTGTACAAACACCTTTTGCATTCTTCAGAATCAATTTCCTGGCCCACAGGATGAAGTATTTGAGAAGGACCTGGATAAAAAAGCAGAATGAGGATGCTCCAATACTTAAGGCTAGCCTAGTACCGAACAAGGTAGGGTTTATGTCTTGAGTCCTGTATAACTTAGTCTGGACTGCAATTAATTTGTGTCCCTGTTAGGCCTGCAAGGGCCATGAACAGTTATAATCAGTTACAGACAGTACAGCTTTTGTATACAAGACTGTGCATAAAGCTGATGTAAGCTACTGTTGTGGTTTTAAAGTGTCTTTCTGAAACAGTAATGTTGTTACAGCTGTGAACTACTGAAGTGAAATAGGAAACAGAAGGCTAAAGCCAACTGTCTCAACTTTTCTCCAGAGCATGATCATTTTCATAAAATACCTTTACCATGAAATAGACTGCAAGAAACTACAGCAGCCACACACTGCTGAGCTTAAAGTATCTGTAAGATCCCGTCCTAATTGCAAGCATATTACTAGATACCATCTTTAAATTTATGCTTACTACAACAGGGGAAAAAAAATGCAGGAACACATCTACAGTAAGAAGCAGCTTATGGCACTAAAGGGAGAAAGGACTGACAGCATTTGATCATACAATCATTAGGCCAGAATCTGACAACACAATTTCTCTGACTACAAAACATCTGTTTGGCGTAGGCCAATGGCTAAGTTTGTTCTCAATAAAAAACTGAAAATCCCCAAGTTAAAGAAATCAGTGCAAACAGGCAGTGCAAGACTTTCACAGGTTAGAAGATGAGAGCATGATTGTACTCTCCCTTCCAGTTTCCATCTCACCCATTGCACAACACTACTGGATATTTTTAGCAAAGTGGTTTTTGCAGGAGCACATGCAGATTAAGTGCCCCAATGTCTTATACAGGCTACCCAACAGTGCTGACTTATTCCCCACTTAATAAAGCAACACTCGATGACACTCAGTACCTGACCAGGTTGACTTGTTGGTTTCCAGACAATATGTGTGTTTGTGGGCACTACTATACCAAACATGTGGCCTGAGTGACTGCAGCTCTTGCAGCAGAAGCTGCCAGCCTCACACATGGAACTCCCAGGTGACAGAGGTGCTAAAACTGAGCTGCACGTCCGACCTGTGCTACAGCACAAAGCAGTCTAGGCGGACCTACACCAAGGGGAAACTCGTCTCTTCCTGCAGCAAAGCAGGCGTTTGCCCTGCAGCACCCGCACCCCGCTGTGCTCCCTCAGGGACAGCAGGCCCACGCCGGAGATGTCCGCTGGCTGGGCAGCAGGGCCTGCCAAGGCCGCTGCCCCGCTCAGGCCTCTCCACCCTCCGCCCGATCCCAGGGCCCGTACCCGCCTCAGGGTCTCCTTGGCCCGGGCCAAGTGGCCGCGCAAGGCCTTCGCGCGGAGCTCGTGGAGACTCTCGAAATACTCATCGTCGCGGCGGCGGTCGGCGGCGAAGAGGGTGTCCAGCACCACACGGCCGCCGCAGAGCTCCAAGGCCCAGCCCAGATAGAGCTCCAGCTGCCGGCACAGTTCCTGCACCTCGGCCTCGCTCGGCACCGTGCCGCCGGGGAACAGCACAGCCCAGAGCCCGCCGGTGGCGACGCCGGGCAGCGTGGACGGCAGCGCGGGGAATGCGGGCTCCAGGCGCGGACAGACGGCCGACAGCTGCTGGTGGACACCGCGCAGGGCCGGCGCCGAGAAGAGACCGGCCCAGCTCTGAGGGGCCTGATCCGCCGCCTCCGCCCGGCCGTGGCAGGTCACGGCGAAAGCGCCCTCCACGCCGTTCCAGGCCACGAGGAAGCGGAGCCGCGGCCGCGGCTGTGGCTCGGTGAAGGCGGTGTCCTTCACGGCCACCCACCCCTCCAGGCTGTCGGGCTGCGGGTCCATGATGGCGCACCCGGGGAACGAAACAGAAACTGAGAGACCTGAAAGGCACAGCGCGCACCCGGCGAGGGCGCGCGCCCCTCATGCTACGTCACCGGGAACTCGCGGGCCCATTGGTGGATGTCCCCCCCGAGGGGCGGGACCAACGCGTGGCCGGGGCGGGCGGGCTCACGTGGCTGCCACAGAAATAAAGCTCAGAGGGGTGTGTGGGGGCTCAATGCGTGTGAGAAGTCCCCAGGTGTGCAAAACTTGGTGATTTTTATGAAACAAGCAGTTATTTCCGTGGCTAGCGGCGGGCTGGCGTATAGGCACACACAGCTCTGCGGGAAGAAGCACGGGAGTTACCTCACGGGGTCCTCACCGCCGTTTCAGTGCACCCCAGGGCCTGAGCTCTTGGCTACACTGGCTAAGGGAAAGCTGCCCCGTGTCCCAGCGGTTTTTCTCCTTGCCGTCATTCCCAGGAATTTCCGGCTAAATTTCATAACTTGTTCCCTTCTCTGAGCCCAATGAATCCTTGCACACCTTCCCCACACTTTGAAATGAGGGTGGCGGGTGGTCTCAGGCCCAGAGGCCCCTAACTGCTGATATCTGAAAGTTTAGCTGACTATACAAGCACAAAGTAGCTATCAGTGGAAAGGCAAAAGAAAACGGCAAATAGCAGATCTTTGTCTTTTGTATTATTCCTTTGCCTAAGTTTTACCACAGCCAGGTAGGTTTTGTTACTCAGAAGTTATTAACAGAAATGCTTTCACTAAAGTTGCTGTGAAACTTATTTGAGGAACTCAATGCTGATGACCTTCAGCTGAACAATCGGTAAGTGTATAATCAATACAAATGTTGATGGAGAAGCACAGCTGACTTCATTGTCCAAGTAGATTTCCAATCTAGGCAAAAGCCAATTACTGGCTTTTAGCAGGGTTTGGATTATTTTCCTCCCTTTCTCAAAAACTCCTGCTGTATCACCCCACACGATAATGTCATCAATGCATTGCATTGCTCCTGTTCCAGTGAGTCTGGGTCAGTCCACGGCAGATGGTAGGGCTGTGTTTTTGACTTTCAGCCTGGAAACAACGCTGGTAACACTGAAATGGTCCATCTATCAAATTGATGTCTCTCCAATTTAGAGACAAGGATGACGTGTGGGAAAGCGTTGAATGCTTTGCACAAGTCCAGGTAGATGACATCAACTGCTCTACCCCTGTCCATTGTATCTGAAAAATCATGGCAGTCAGGTGAAATTCCCGACGACTGGAAAAAGGGAAATATAACCCCCATTTTCAAGAAGGGGAAAATGGATGACCCAGGGAACTACAGACAGTCAGTGTCACCTCTGTGCCTGGCAAAATCTTGGAGCAGATTCTCCTGGAAGGCATGCTAAGGCACATGAAAAACAACAAGGTGCTTGGTGACAGCCAGCATGGCTTCACTAAGGGGAAATCCTGCCTGACCAATTTGGTGGCCTTCTATGATGGGGCTACAGAACTGATGGACAGGGGTAGAGCACGAATGCAGTCTCCCACTACCACAACGCATGGCCACAAACCACCTTGCAGTCAAATGGTGCTTGTCCTTAAATCAACTAAGTCCTAAATTGGTCATACTTACTATACCACCGCCTCATGGGCCTCTGAGGGGAGTGGAGAGCAGAGGTGTTTTCATAAAGCATGTATCTCTTATTCAGACCTTGTGTGCTGAATTTAATTCATCGTAAAAGTGTTATATTCTAGCCATTGGAAGCAAAGCTGACACTACTAATTTTTCAATAAATGAAGGCTTGCAAGATAGTGCAGCTTAACAGCATAAGGGCAAAAATGAGTTCTCAATTGAAAAAGTAATGAAATCTGTCTGGCAGCATAAATGTTAACATTTCAGCAAAGGCTACCTCATTTCTGTGAAAACGTTTCTGCTTTGATCTCACAGCTGATGGAGGCACTGTCAGCACTAATGAGATCATGACTACATGGGTAATTAACTTGTATTCCCTTAGCAAAACAGCAAACAATTGCACTGCTAGAAATGTGAGGGAATGACACCAACTGTAATTGGAAAAAAAGAGGAAAAAGCAGAGCTATGTCAAGATCCAATAGATGTTTCCCCTTGTGCTGCCCCCTGAGCTCAAGATGTGTATAATGCAGTGTTCTCAGACATACTTACAAAGCTCTTGCCAGCAAGGCTGGCTCAGTAGCGTGTTCACAAGCAAAAGGTTACGTATGTTGGACAGCTGTGGGTTTGAGCAGATAGATACATAAAGCTCAAGTGCTACAGTAATCATAATAATCAGTGGTAATGTACAGCCTGCTTTTTATTGGGTGAACTGATGCTGAGCGCAGACTGAAAGGATATGTTTACGGGAACACCCACCCTAGCTGGGCTGTTGGCCGCATTATTCCCTATAATAGTTTTGCAGAGGTCTAGCATACACCTACATAGTGGGATGTATGTGTACGTATATTTATGCAACCCTACAATTTCAGATTTCTTCTAAATTCTGAACTTTAATATTTTTTCTAGACTCTGATCTTGATTAGCAGAGTAAAGCTTTTGCTAATTTAACAGAGAAAATAACTTTTCCATCAATCATTTGCAAAGAACAGAACAGGTATTTCCATTTAATTGTGCAGCAGTGCAGTAGGTGTGCATCCAGCCATTTAAGTCAGTTTGTGCAGGAAGCATGTTTCATGTATCCCACACACAACACTCTGCATAACACTACAGCTTTGGAAACCACACCTAAAGTCAATGACTGCACTCTGCAGGGTTTATTAATACCATCTCAGAAAGTGAGAGGGTGCTCTGGCCTTAGCAAGAGCTCTCTATAATTGTTCCAAGTACTTCAGGTCCAGGAATCAATGTTCGGAGCCTTTTCTCAGTGTATGACATTCATCCTGCTGACACTCAAGTAGCACGCTGCTTAAGGACAGCTGGGGCACATCTATATTTGTTCCATTGCTCATTGCTGGCATGTCCCTATCTGAGCAAAGAGGCGGTCTAGGGTTACAGCAATGTTTTCCAACTGCAGTCATATGAAAGTGGCAGCGAATTGATTTCGTGTGAATTAATTTTTACTAGGGGAAATAAATGTGAAGTTTGATGCCATCTGAGCTATCAGAAGAATTTATGATGTCTTAAAATAGAAGGCAAGTTTTTAGGTAGTAACATTCTTTGTTATATATTTTTGATAACTGCTGGTTACTGACTTGAACATTCTTCACTGTAATTGTATCTGTGCCTGTAAACTGAGCAATCATCTGAAAATCTTATTTAGGCAGCAGGGTTCCAGAGGAGCTTAATTATGCTAATTTTAATTTATGTAATTTCATTTCATTTTAGTGGGAAAATATTTGTTAATTCACTTCTCTAGTTAGTAGTAGCTTCTAAAGCAAGCCTTATTGTTATAATCATGGAGAAAAAAGTTTTCACGGGGGCCAGAGAACATTTCCTGGTATGTGTCAAGACCTTTTCTCTGTATAATATATTAGAATTTGCATGATTTATTTATGCCTCTAGCATAAATACTATTTCTGCTTAACTTCACTGTTTTTGTCTATAGTAAGATATTGCTAGCTGTAGAATCCACACCCATGTCTGCAGTGCTAGAAGATAAACGGAGGACTTCTCTGTGTGTTTTCTTACTGATCGGTACACTGGATGGTTTTCAGCCATTGGTATGAAACCAGAGAGTGGGAAGTTTCTTAGCATTTTTCACCAGTTTGAGAAGTTGCTTTCTAATAATTAATTGACTGTATTAACTTTGTTAGCTAAGTAATCCTAGCTAAGTAATCAGGAATAGTGGTAACATACTGATGACATTGTTTTGATAGCAAGTACTCAGAACTACAAAGACCATAAAAGGTAGTTTGAAAGCAAAGCTTATGTAAAAGCTTCTGCAGAAGCTCTGATAACCTTGATTTCTGGCTGACCTTTTGGATTATTTTTTTTTGTGAGAAAGTGGTTTTAAAGCTTTCATATACTTCACTTAACTAAGACTAGATGTAACTAGACATAGATTAATATTCAGCTGAAATCTTTCCATGAACTCTTTTGCCTGTAGTAGTAAGCTGCTGATGAAATTGACCTGACTAGTTTTGTGGTATGATTTTGTTTGTGCTGGTGGACAGTGGAGGGCTGCAGGGACTTCACAGCTCTGACTGAGAACTGCCTCTGTACTCATTTTATTTCATGTGCTGTTGTTAATAGAGGCTGGGTGGAAAGAGTGGGGTTGGGGAGTCAGCATTAAAATTGCCTTGCATCTTTAAGGTTCATGCATGTGCATCTACTTTATCATATACCTTTGCATTTTGCATCCATGTGCTTTTCATACCTCCCACATTGCACAGAATGGACAAAGTGTGCAAGCTCCAGGTCAGAATAGACTTCTCTCAGTTCAGGGGTCAGTGACTCACCTTGCTTCCATGTTACTGTATGCTTTATCATGGAGATTATCATTGATCTTTTTTCTGAGCTTCATTTATGTTAAAACATGTATTTTCACAGCACCTGAGAACCCCCAAAGGGCAGTCTGTTCCTTGTTTTATAGAAAGGACCCAATACCTGCACTGATAGTAATGTTAAAAGAAACCTCAGGTTTCAATATCAAGAATGGCAACTTGAAAAATTCAGAACAGGATTTTTCAGTACATTTCCTAGTGTGTTATGTGGCATCAGTGGTCACAAGAGAGGATATCCTGCAGTATTGCCTAACTAATGGTTCAGAAAAAGGACTTGAGAGCATCTGAAGGGTGGGCAGACTTCAAACCAGGCCATCTCCAATTGTACAGAACAGCGCTAAATGTGCTTGAAGCACAATTTCACTGTTGAGCCAAGAACAAGAGTACCCCACACTTTGGAAATCAGACATCAGGGTCACAGATGAGCCACTCAGAAAACACAGGATGCATGCTAGAGAAAGCTCTCTGCTTTGCTTTGCATGGAGGTGAGAAAAAACAAGCTACCTGTAGCTTCCGTTCAGAAGCTTCACTTAGTACATAAAGCTGCTGGCTTTGGACTTTCCCATGTTTACCTCCAGGCCCTGAGTAGTCCTCACCAAAC